TTGAAGACGAATTTTCAGTTTTTGCACAGAAATTTCATGCAAAAATTTATAAAGGTTGTACATTCATTCGACTTTTGATGAGAAGAATCTCAAAGTGATTTGCATTTTTTTTGCAATGGTATTGTTTGTTTTGTTGTTGGATCGTTACGGAGGAATGAATTTGTTGCTTATGAAAGGTGGAAGGAGGAATTTTTTGGATTTTTTGAAGTGGTTTTCGTTTAAGTGAGTGTGTGTGTGGCGTGATTTGAAGTTTAGAATAAAGTCAAATGATTTGAGTTTAGAGTTTTATTCTGTTATTGTTAAAATTATGCGTTTTGTGATGAACGAACATTCAGAATAAAACAACAAATGAAGATAAACGAAAGGAGCACCAGAAAGAGTTGGCAAAGCGTCTCAACGAGACTGCCAAAGAACGTCTCGCCGAACAAACCGGAAAAAAAGATACGAAAACGGTGAAAAAATCGAACGTTTCCTACAAAAGCTACGAGAAATTCCCGAAAGAGCCAGAAGTGGACAAGTTGAACATATATGTGGGTGAGTGAGTTGAAGAGATTAAAAACCAAAAATTATTCATTTTCAGTGCAATTTATTGGCGATTCTTTTCCAGTTTTTCCTTTTTTTTGTTCGAGTGGATAGAAAATTTTTTTCATATTGTTGGCATTTTTCGACGAAAAATTTCTTGTGACATTTCGTTAAATCGTGAATGAGTTGAAGAAATGTTTTATTTCTGAAGAATTTATAAATATTTGTGATGTATTGTTTGAATACAGATCGTCGGCATGACTCGATAATATTGCCTGTGTTCGGTGTGCCCGTGCCGTTTCACATCTCGATGATCAAGAATACGAGTCAGTCGATTGAAGGCGACTTCACCTATTTGCGTATCAATTTCATGCATCCTGGCTCGCAGATAGGCAAGGATAGTCAACAGTTCCCGCATCCGTTATCGACTTATGTGAAGGAATTGTGAGTTTTTAATTTCAGTCTGATAAGAGTGAGATTTGCAGTTGAGCAGCGATAATGTCGACATTATAAAAGGATTGTTTTAAATTGATAAACATGAA